AGTAGAATGTGTTAAGTATTAACGTTTCTAGGTCGACCTAATGACTCCAGTCTGACCAGTCGTCGTTTGTATTGAGCTTCAAGATTCGTTTGAGGGCTGCAAGCGATCGTTCTACTAACCTACTGATTGCAGGTATTTTAAGGTTTCATGCTTGATATTCACTTCCATGATTATTGTTAGCTCTTTGACTAATGTCGCAACAAATGACGTTCCCAGATCGGAGATTTTTTGTTCCGGAATGTAGCTGTTTGAAAAAAAACTTGAGAAAGTGTTCGATCAATGGTCTCTGCGGGACCGTTTGTGAGTGGTACGGCAAAAAATATTTGGAGAAAACATCTATTGCTGAGAGTGCATAATTGTAAAAGTGTGAGCGATATGGTCCCACTAAGTAGATCTGAAGGATGCCCCAGGGAACGAAGTTTGCATTGACAATGGTTGTAGCTGCGGACGAAGCTGGTTGTTGGTGGCTCGTTTTCTTTGTAGGCAAGTTGATCAGTACTTCACCAAGTTTACAAAAAAATCTGTAAATCCAGGGAAGTAGAATCGGTTTCGGAACTCCATTTTTGTTCGCTCGGTTCCAATGTGTCCAGCAGTTGTCGAGTTATGGATTCTGTGCACTACCTCTTGTCGGAGATGTTTTAGTAAGCATATCTGTTTCACTTTGATTGGTCCTGTGTCTTCGTAGATTTCCCTTACGAGGATCCCATTATGAAATTTGAGTCATGGTAGTTGTTTGTTGTATTTTTGAGCTCGTAGATGTTGTATGAGAGGTTGGGTGTGGGATTTTTGGTGATCCTCTCTTTTACGGAATAGAGATAAGTCAATTCCGATCAGTCTGTACGAAACCGATTAGTCATTTTATTTGCTTAGTTGTTTGTGGGATTATCAGCTTGCTGAGGAAGTTCATGACATTTTCTGTTTCGGGTTGTATTCCAGTTGATGTTATAATTTTTCCCAAGAAAGTTACTTGAGTTGTTCCGATCTGGCTTTTCTTCGGAGACAATTTAAGTCCAGACTTACGAATGCAGGAGAAAACTTGTCTCAAATATGAGAAAAACTCCTCAAAAATTTGCACACCAATGCCAATGTCATTCATGTACTGTGTACATACATTGGTTACAAGACATGGTTTTTGTAGTCATGTCGTACGAGATGGTTACGTCTTCCGAGGTCGACTAACAAACGCAATTTGCCCGAAGGTTTTCGTTTGGTAAATAATGGGCGGTTGTACCGTGAGTGTGGTAAAGTTAAAATGATGTTGTAGTTAAAATCCGACGTCAAATCTGTGTTTGCAAAGATTTCGCAGTATTCTACTAAAATTTCTTCAACTTGATGCACTTGTTCCGTTTGAAGTGCTGTATGTTGCCAAGAAATCTGGTTGAGAACTTCCTGCTTGCCTTGTTGGTTGTTTCTCGAGTCCATCTTATCCTTTTGTATGAATTCGTACAGCTGGTCATAGATTATTTACTGGAGTGGTGCAAGGTTTTGCGCAGTTTTGCAAGTTGAGTTGGAAACCAGATTTTCTCGTAGTCCGGTGGTGGTCTTGTTGGGTTTCGTCATAGGCTGAATCGGTTTTTTAAAGCTTTGTGATGTCCGAGTTGCGTGGGTAGGTGTCGTTGAACACTTTTGCTCCGATCATTCGGTCTCACTGGGTCAGCTTAGGGTCGATTGGTTTCAACTCATCTAGTTCCTTACTCGTGAGGAGTTTGAAGTTTGAAAGTTCGTGGTTTCTAGGTATTGTCACAGCGTGATCTGAGAGGTTCATAATGATGACTTCAACTAGTTGACGTAGTTCTCGTCAATTGTTGAGAGTGAGGATGCGATTAGAATTTCAAGTTTTCTTTCCATTGGTTCATTTGGAGCTATAGCTCCGGTGAGTTCTTGTAGATGGTAGTTGGAGTACGTTGGGATTACTTTGATTATAATCTGCTGTTCTTGGTTAATGTTAATTTTCTGTTGTGTAATTAACTCTTATTTCGTGGGTTTTATGACTTTTCGCGCGCGGTTTTTTGTTTTTATTGCGTTCATTGTAAGGTAAAATCAGGAAAAACGAGTACTCTGTCGTATGGAGGGATTCCAACTCTGTGTTTGGAAAAAGGGGATACCAATTACTATGCTATTCATGGAAGGTAAAATTAGAAACGTTTCGCTAAAGGTGTATGTTGCCAAAGAGCAGGAAATCTTTGATTGTCCTAACACTCGAATTGGTTTCCCTGAGGCTAATCTCACGTTATCGTATTCAGACTGTTCCAATGATGATAGTTGGGCGTCCTTTTCGGATTGGATTTTTTCGTACACATACTGAGGCATAGCGTTTGCTTAAGCGCCCGTATCGATTAAAGCGCGTTTTTGTATATTGGGGTTAGCATTTTACCTTACAATACATGAGTGTGTCTCCCTCTAGTGACATACAGGCATTTATCTCTGTTTTTCTTTTTCTTGTCTTTTTTGTAGGGGAGTCATAAAATGAAGCGGAGGTTATAGGGCGATTATAATTGTTTTTTACTTGCTTTTTACTTGTTTTTTACTAGAGTGGATCAGCTAGTAATTTTGGTTGCCTTGAACTTGTGTCGCGTTATTGGCACTGGGGAAAGGGTTTTGGGTGTTGCTGTTCTGTCGACGTTTAGGCACTAAGCAGTGTGTCGCTAATGGATTTGAATAGGCGCAGACATGGCAAAGAGTTTGTGAAAAATCGATTTCAGGTAAAAGATTTTGTGACCAATATGTCTAATTCTGAGCAAAGATTTGTTTTTGACCCTGGTTTGAGGGTGTGACGGTGTGCTCATAGCCACTCTGGGGCTGTTGGAACTCATTTGGTTGGACAAACTGACCTGATGTTAGGGGCCAACCGTTTTGAGTGAAGCTGCTGCTCCATCCATGGTTGTAGTTGCCTCTACCACGGCCTCTGCCTCTTCCACGTCCTAGTAGTGAGCACCAATTCTTCTGTTTGCTTTGCTGCTTCTCAGCTGTGTTCTTCTGTTTCTGTAGTTGTTGGCTCAATTAGTCGATTTTCTTTTCCATTTTCTGAATAATTTCTGCCAAAGTTGCAGCAAAATTCACGGTAAAGTCACGGTTGACTTCGGAGAATGCATCTCATGACCATTCGTCAACAGGGCAGAGTTTTTGAACGATTAGGGTCTTACGTACCTGCATACACAGGTCTTGGACAGGGCTTTCTTCTGGTTTCTCCAGTAAATTGATTTTATGAAGAGCCGTCTGATTTGTCTTTCTCGTTCTCTCGTATGAAACCTCAGTCTTTCGGCATTGGCGTCATTCGCGGCTGCAATTCTGTTTTCCTCTGCGTCTGCTTGCAGGTCCGGATTGACTGCTGGTCCCGGTTCTGGGATTGAATCTTAGTAGGCTAATTTTGCCAGCTTCTGAAATTTTACCAGGAATTCCTCTGGTGTTTCGGTCTTTGAGTCGTACTTGAGGTTTTCAAGCTCTATCAAGTGGATTTCTTTGACGTTGGTTTTGTGAAAATGGTCTTTCAGTGTCTGTAATTTCAATTCAAGGTCTCCACTGGTTATTTCTGGTATAGTCATGAAGAATTGCAACTCTTCATCTTTTAGGTGAATTTTCATCAAATTCGGTGCCTGGGCATTTTTGATGTTGATCACGTCTCTCGTACTTCTGAATGGTGATTCGAACTAGTTCCAACTCTCAGAAGGAGATCCCGATCATTTGATGAGAGAAACTGATTCGTAAGCCACTTTGGGAAATTATCAGTTTGGATTTTCCGTCGCTGTCACCATATGAAAAGGTGCTTTATAATTAGTGTTGTATCTTGCGAACTATTAAGTTAAGTCTATTCTATCAAGTGTGACGGTGTTCTGTACTAATTCAGCTGTATGAAAGCACTCTCGTGTTTTGATGAGAAGTAATTTTGAATAGCTATCTGTCTATCTGATTTTGTTCTATGTTCCTATCTGAGCTACATAAAGTCAAAATTTAGACTCATTAAACATCCGGTGTAAATGTATATAACGCATAATAATTCGAGCACGCGCGTTGAAACGGTTCCAAGCTATCAAACTTCATGCCACTTTTTTATATGTCGATTTTCAGCAGTATCATATGTGACGACCTATAGCCATTTTTATTCATATTACCTCAAAACTATCTGTCGCTTTTAACCTTATAAATATTTGCTGTCAATATTTTATCAGAAATGTTTAACTGGTGCTTTACCTACTTTTACTGACTACATAAACATATACAATAAAAAATAAATATGTTTAAATATATATAAATATACATAAATATATATAAATATATATAAATACATAGAAATATATAAATATATATAAATAAATATAAGTATATATAAATATAAATAAATATATATAAATATATATAAATATATATAAATATATATAAAGATGAATAAATAAATATTTATATATATATTTACACCGGATGTTTAATAAGTTTAAAATTTGACTTTATGTATAGCTCAGGTAGGAACTAAGAACAAAATCAGATAGACAGATAGCTATTCAAAAATCAGTTGAAACTCCTTTTGAGAAAGTCCTGAGTTACCACGCTAGTCAACAAAAGTAGGTAATGTACCAGTTAAGGAAGTAAACATTTCTGGTAAAATATTGACAGCAAATATTTATAAGGTTAAAAGGGACAGATAGCTTTGAGGTAATATGAGTAATGATGGCTATAGGTCGTCACATATGATACTGCTGAAAATCGACATATAAAAAAAATGGCATGGAGTTTGATAGCTTTGATCCGTTTCAACGCGCGTGCTCGAATTATTATGCTTGCAACTCCACTGCGATTTTTCAGGCTGTGGCGAAACTAACAATAGTGACCACTCAAAACAACCACGAAACGCATAGTCGTGGAGTCGAGCTCAGAATCTATTGACTGAAAGACAAAAAAAACCAATACTTCTAATTTGATTATCCTTCCCACGTATAACATTTACTTATTGTTTTTAAAATATTTAATCGGAAAATATGGCGCTTGCAAGAGCCCCTAAAATTCACCGGCGGTCCTCCTGATTCGTCTATTCCATCGGGACACTCTGGGATCCCGTCACATGGGGCAGCACACACAGGATCAGTCGCATCTCCACACTCGATATAGTCATCGAAACAGTCTCCAGTGAACTCTGCATAGGTTCCTACTTCTTGTTCGGCCCAGTAAGAAGTGCAATTAATGGGACCTATATTTGAGAGGAAAGGATCAGTTTATGTTCAAAAAATTCAGAACTAAATTGACCAAAATTGGCCAAAAAACAGGGTTTTTGTAGTGCTCTGGGAGAGCTCGGAAAATCACCTTGGTCGACCTAAAAAAGAGGTCGACAAAATTTTTGATTTTTTTTAAAACCCCCCTCAAGAAAATCCTAGATCTTGAATTCAGTTTTGAAACGTTAAATTAGCTCTTTTATTTTCTGTTTTGGAACGCTAACTTAGCTTTTTTACTTTTTTCATTTGTTACCTTAGTTTACGCTTACTACCTGAATTTGAAAGAACTCAAAATCATTTCGTAAATCAAAAAGTGAACTTTTTCAGACATATTCACTTCTCACTTCGTATTTAATAATAAAATTTTTCATTACCGGTCCACTTTCTGTTTCATTGCTTTTTGTTCCTTGTTGGAATTATTTAATTGATTGCAACTTCTTGTATTTCGACAAACTTAGAAACCAGCCTGCAATGTTGTTTATGGCTGATTCTTAAGATTTAATTATGCAAAAAAATATGGTCTTGCTTACCTTTATCTCAGCAAAAACATTCAAAAGTTAGCTGCTAAAACGAAAAAAAAAAACAGGAAATAATCATTAAAAACATTTTTGAAGGCCTACTTTTATATTTTCTATGTTAAATTTTCTTATATATAAACTATTATTGTAACCAAATAACTTGATTTTCGTGCTGATGATTTTACTTATTTGGAAAATCAATAGGAATCAAAGATATAATTTAGCAATGTATGGACATTAAATTAACACCCTACAACAGCAATCAGAAGCAGACGGAAAACGTCAACCCTAGATTGCCTTGTTGAAATTTCAGCAATGTACCTTCATCATCTCGGGAAATGGTTCCTTCGTCCCAGCAATCTTCGCACTCACAAGTTCCGTCGCACATCCACTGGCTTGATATACACTCCTGCAACAATAGCAAGCATAAGTGGTTGACTTCCATTTTTAGCCGACTATATCCATTTTTTTTTTCAAAAACACACTAAAAGACTCTCCCTGCAAAACACCAGATCCGAACCTTACTGTTTCTGATCAAACACTATGGTTGAGCAGAGCAATGAGCCATTTCAACAGTACTGTTCTAAAATTAGCATTTTCAAGCTGATAAAAATGTTAAATTCCGAATTCTGATTGGCCTGAAAAAGAAAGCTATCGACGAAGTGAACAATCTCCTCCCTAATTTTTTAAGGGGTAGATAGTTTACTTGGTCCAGTTTTACACAGAGGCAAACTAATTGCATTGTGTATGCACAATAATTAATAAATAATTAGACAAAAAAATTCACCTGCTGATTTGAAGCTGCTTTTGAAAAACTCAAAAATCATATGGCCACTCTGGTATCCACCTTTACCTGCTGCGTTCTACTGGTCTCCAAATGCGAGCTATTAAACACTGCGACAAAGACAAGCATTCTTGCATTATAATTACAGGTAGTAATGAACGGTACTTAAAATGAGATGAAGGATATGCTGTTCGAAAATGCGATGGATGCCCAATAATTATATGAGTGCATCGTATTGTAATCAAGTCTCGTCCTTCGAAAACACAAGAACGATAGTTGAAAAAGATAGAATATGCTTAAAAAAATTATTATTATTACGGTAAAAAGATGGATTTCATCATAGTAGAATATGCTACCTTCAGATCTGAAGACTCATCTAACAACCAATTGCATCAAGAAGATACATTGTTAAATACAGCCAATGAAACTATAGTCCGTGCATGGTAAATCTGCTTCTTTTCAATTTGCCTGACAAAGTCTCCTAACCTCGCGCCCAAGAACTTGTAATTGTTAATTTGACCACGTAATTGATGACGAAAAGGCACTAAGTCCTAGGTACGGTGTTTTTTTTATTCTAACAATTTTGATTTCTACAAAGAAATCTCGTAGCTGGTCAAAAATAGGTACCATTTTAACGAATCAACAGGCAATTGTTTCAATGCTCTGGCATAACTAAGAACTTGAATTCATTTTTGAAACGCTAAATTAATTTTTTTTATTGTCAGTTTTGAAACGCTAAATTAGCGTTTTTACTTTTTTCATAGGATACCTTAGTTTACTAGGGGCCCAGCTGAAAGCTGGAGAGACCTGTTTGATTATTTTAATATTGATTATTTTAAAATTGTTTTAAAATTTCAGGTTTCTCAAGTCGATAGCGCCCTTCCTACGCAAAAAAAGTGAAAGAGAAGCTTATGCATTCATTGGTAACGAAACACAAAAAAACTCAACACAAAGCCAATAGCACCAAGCAAAAGCAAGAAAACGTAAGCATAGCGGATTCCATTGTCTAAAAAATACACACAATAAGTATATTGAATCTTTGTTCCAATGCCAAAAAACTTTTAAAAAAACTTTTCCTAAGTGTACAGCTCTTCCCCGAGACAAATTAAGGACCAGCCACTTGGGCAGGGGAGTTTCCTACAACTTGTTCTATCGATTAAACCCTTAATCCCAAAACTGGATGGGTAGTTTTTGAAGAAATCGAAAAAGTTTGAAAAAATGGCCTAAAAACCGAAAAATTGACTATTCCTAAGTGTATAGCTCTTCCCCTAGACAAATTAGGGACAAGCCGTTTGTGTAGGGGGGGTTCCTACAACCTGGTCTATCGATTAAACCCTTAATCCCAAATCTGGACGGGTAGTTTTTGAGGAAATCGGAAAGATTTGAAAAAAGGCCAAAAAAAGTCAAAAAAGTGACTTTGCCTAAGTCTATAGCTTTTCCCCTAGGCAAGTTAAGGAGCAGCCGCTTGTGCGGGGGAGTTTCCTACAACCTGGTTTATCGATTAAACTCTTAATTCCAAATCTGGATGGGTAGTTTTTGAGGAAATCGATAATTTCCGAAAAAATAGGCAAAAAAATCAAAAAAGTGACTTTTCCTAAGTCTATAGCTCTTCCCCTAAGCAAATTAGGGACCAGCCGCTTGTACATGGGAGTTTCCTACAACCTGGTCTATCGATTAAACCCTTAATCCCAAATCTGGACGGGTAGTTTTAGAGGAAATCGAAAATTTCCGAAAAAATGGGCAAAAAGTGAAAAAAGTACCGAGTTGTGAAGCTTTTCTAAGTCCGTAGGGGGTGGGGTAGGGTAAAAATTGCCCTAAATTTCATGCAGGCAGGTAGGTGAAACGCTACTGAATCCATTGGTACCACTTTTATGAGAATCTGACGGGTAGTTTTTTGGGAAAGCGAACTGAAAGCTGGAGAGACCTGTTTGATTATTTTAATATTGATTAAAAATAGGCAAAAAAATCAAAAAAGTGACTTTTCCTAAGTCTATAGCTCTTCCCCTAAGCAAATTAGGGACCAGCCGCTTGTGCATGGGGGGTTCCTACAACCTGGTCTATCGATTAAACCCTTAATCCCAAATCTGGACGGGTAGTTTTTGAGGAAATCGGAAAGATTTGAAAAAAGGCCAAAAAAGTGACTTTTCCTAAGTCTATAGCTCTTCCCCTAGGCAAGTTAAGGACCAGCCGCTTGTGCGGGGGAGTTTCCTACAAGCTGGTCTATCGATTAAACCCTTAATTCCAAATCTGGATGGGTAGTTTTTGAGGAAATCGATAATTTCCGAAAAAATAGGCAAAAAAATCAAAAAAGTGACTTTTCCTAAGTCTATAGCTCTTCCCCTAAGCAAATTAGGGACCAGCCGCTTGTGCATGGGGGGGTTCCTACAACCTGGTCTATCGATTAAACCCTTAATCCCAAATCTGGACGGGTAGTTTTTGAGGAAATCGGAAAGATTTGAAAAAAGGCCAAAAAAGTGACTTTTCCTAAGTCTATAGCTCTTCCCCTAGGCAAGTTAAGGACCAGCCGCTTGTGCGGGGGAGTTTCCTACAACCTGGTCTATCGATTAAACCCTTAATTCTAAATCTGGATGGGTAGTTTTTTTTGAGGAAATCGATAATTTCCGAAAAAATAGATTAAAAAAAATAAAAAAAGTGACTTTTCCTAAGTCTATAGCTCTTCCCCTAAGCAAATTAGGGACCAGCCGCTTGTGCATGGGAGTTTCCTACAACCTAGTCTATCGATTAAACCCTTAATCCCAAATCTGGACGGGTAGTTTGAGGAAATCGAAAAATTCCGAAAAAATGGGCAAAAAGTGAAAAAAGTACCGAGTTGTGAAGCTTTTCTAAGACCGTAGGGGTGGGGTAGGGTAAAAATTGCCCTAAATTTTATGCAGGCAGGTAGGTGAAACGCTACTGAATCCATTGGTACCACTTTTATGAGAATCTGACGGGTAGTTTTTTGGGAAAGCGAATTTTTCGAAAAGCGTCAAAAAAAAAAACAAAAAAAAAAAAAAAAAAAAAACAGATCTCATCTGGAAAAAAAACGTTTTCATAATACCTGTTTAATAAATCAAACAGGAACTTTCCTTTTACTACCTGAATTTGAAAGAACTTAAGACTATCTCAACAAATCAAAAAGTCATAAATTCTCAGGGATTCGAACCTCTGTTGACCCAAAGGGTCCCCCCGTGGGTACTTTTAAAGAAATCCATTTTTGGCCGACCGAACCTAAAGTTCTATATATATATATACTAGTTTGAGGGGGAGCGCGCGCCAAAAAAAAAACAAGATTTTTTTGTCAACATTTTCCAAAGAGTGCCCAAAAACGGCTTTTTTGGCTTTTTTTTCTAAAATTTACTTACCTTCATCTCAGCAAAACACAGCAAAAACCTTCATAAGTTACCTGCTAAAACGAAAAAAAAACAAGAATAATCATTAAAAACATTATTAGGAGGCTACGGGTTTCAAACCACGGAACTTTTGATTCAAGATCACATGTTTTAGCAACGGCTGCATTATAACGAATACAACTTTTTATATCTAAATGAATATAGCTTTTTAAATCTAAAAAAAGACAGCTTGAGCAAAGAAATAAACTACAATTGAGAGTAGGTTTGTACAGTTTAAAAAAATGGACAAATATAGCCAACAGACTGTAAGAAAAAAGTCAATGACGTAGGAAATCGAATTTTTTTTAGACATTTTTCAATGTCAAACTATATAACACTAAAACGTTATAGATTTTTAGAACCATTTTTCCCCATAAAACGCTTTTAATTAATTAAAACTGAGTCTCCGGTATTTTCATTCCGCTTTAACTTTTGAGAATTGGAAACATAATTTAAAACTAAGTTTTTGGCATTTTTTGCGCCATTTGCACTGTTGTTACAGCGGCGAAGCGGAACTTCGAAAACCGCTTGAAAAAATCAGACGAAAGCCGCTTGAAAACTTAAAAAACGGTGACCTACAATTTAATGACATACAATTTAACACCGTAAATTTTAACACTTAGTCGTTTCACGACTAAACAATTTAAATCGACAGGAAGTGATTCAAGTGAACAAAGTTATTTGCAAGAAGAAAGGTTCAAATACCCTTGCTAATCGCAAGGGTTATTAGAGAGAGTAGTGTGCCTTCCATTAAGCAAATAAATTTAAATCAAAATTACAAGAATCAGAAGCCAAACAGCGAAACCATTGTCAATGAATTTAAGCAAACCGAAAAAAAACTATCAACTTTTCTTGAACATTTTCAACTTACGAAAAAAATTAAGCTTCCTCAAAGTTCTTAGAATTTCGGGAAACTGATGATTTAGTTTTTTTAATCAAAATACCTAAATAGAGAAAATTTGGTCGAGAAATAATTTTTCAATTCCACTGAGCATTACTCTCAAACCAAAATACAAGTCCCTTTCTTTGAGCACATGGTATTGAATTTTAAAATAAATCAAGTCAAACCCCAGAAGGTTAGATTTGAGAATAAACATACTTCGAGACTTTTTCTTTAAATCCAATCGAAAAACCACATGACCTATATAAGTGTCTTAACTGCGTTCAATGACCTTTTAAAATCAAACCTGAGCGTGAAAAAAAATTCTTCTTTTTTCTGAACAAAAACCAGGCTCAAACGTCCTGTAAAAGGGATGTATAACTTCGCACTTCTTTGATTTTTTGATCTAGACGACGAATGACAGCTACTTACGCCTGTTTGAGGACACTCCTCAAATCCATTCGGACATTCCAGATCCCAATCATACCCATAGTCTTCTGATATCTGGAGAAGCAGCCGCGATTCCACATACTCGTCCAAACTAGCCAGGTCAACAAAGTTCCTCCGTTTTTCCAGCTCTGATTTGCGCACAGGGTTATTGTTACAAAAAGTCACCGCTGGAAAGTCAGATTGTGTTCTCCGGTCAATGGTTATTTGCGTGACAACTGGATACTTCATGTACTTGTCAACCAGCGAGTAAAATTGAAATGTAAAAATCCCAATAAGTCCGATATATGCCAAAACCCAGAAAACTCGCAGAATAGTATGCGGTGATTGAAAGATTTGAGGCGCAATTGACTCTCCGAAATTAATCGAAGCAGTTTTGACCGCATCGGCATTGGAGCCGCCATTATCGACAGGTTTGGTGTTTTGAGTGGCAACACTTCCAGGAGTTTCTATATTTCTCAACAAAAATTGGGGCTCAAAAGAAGCTTCTGGAGACACACTATTTACTTTTGGGCCACTATAATTAATAAAACTTTTGTCAGAAAAAATAGTGCGATTATCGTCAGCCATTTTTGAGTTTGCTGGTCATAAAATTACGAGTGATAACTCTGATGCTGCTTATTTTAATGGTTACTTGCGCGTCTGGTTTCAAACATTGTCATAAATCTCTCGCGCGTTCAAATTAATTAAAACTGACCAATGACGCATTAACTTTACAACAAAACTCGTGGGTTGTCTTTTAAGCTGTTCAGTTCAAGTGAACTTTTGTCACTAAAAAGCTAACTTGCAGTGCTAATTAAAACTCTTAACGAAACTAAACTAAGCGACCTCATATTTTCTAATGACTCTGGGAAAGACAAGATTGTTAGAAAGCTAAACTATCCATTCTGAGACATCCATCTTAACATCCATATGACCTCAACTTGTTTTGTGAAGTATAATATTATAATTCATAACTTGTCTTGGAATGTATTCTAATTATTAAACGAGTAATCTACAAAATTAAAGATATACAAAAATAGAAAGCGAACTCAATGTTCACTATTCAATATCTTCATTTTTCATCGTTTCAGTCATTATCTCATTAAGTTTGATCAGGGCTAACTTCCCGCTGTTTTTACCCCTTTTCTTGTGCAATATGGCGACACAGTCGCCAGTCAGTCCCATTCCCCAGATGTTGTCCAGTTTCGGACAACAACTGAACGTATCTACACAATTGATAGCTACGAACTTCGAGTGTTCACTTCTCGTCAAAACAGTAAGATAGCCACGATTGGTATATGAGCCAACCAGAAGTGTCAGCTCGTCCATCATCAGGACTCGTTTTGGTTTTTCGATCATTATTTGTTGGAAAATAGATGCGGAATGTGGATTGTTGTTGTTGACCAAGACGATCTCAATGAAAGATTTGTGCTCAAAACAAGCAGTGACGAAAGTGTCGTCTCTTCCTTTCCTAACTGCATCCGCGTCATAGACGTCTGCCGAGAAACTGAAACAACAATGCATCCATAAAAATAAACTCAGATGTATTTAATAAAGCCTGTTGGTAGATTTAACCCATAAGCCATTCAAAGTTTTACGCCGCTCAAAATACTTCATCTGACTTCTTAAATTACAAAACTAGGATTATTCCATGAGAGCGCTTCCTCAGGAAAAATGTTTTTTCTTTGCGTCCAGAGCGATATGAAAACCAAAACCACTCTTACAATTAATAAATGGTCGGAGCTGTCTGAGCTTCTAGCACAGCAACTGGTTTATTTTAATTCACTTGAACTTGTAGGTTTTAACTCACGAAAGACTGATCCCATCAATTACATTGAAAATTTGTATCTCAATCAACGAAAATCAAGCGCCAAAACAAACTTACCAATGGCCTATCTTTGCGGGTAAATTTGGATTTCCTTTGAAACTCTTCATAATTACACCATTTGCCTGAATGATGTAGAACTCGACTTCATGCCGCATTCCTGGCTCAGAAATAACGGCTACACATGCAACTCCTGGAACCCTTACAATTTGCTGCTCTGTCGGCTGTAGAGTAGTCGGATCAACATTCAGCAACACAATTTCGAAGTAGAATTGAAACATTTCGTCATGCCATCGTCCAATTACGAAGCAACTTCGAGACACCATTTTGATAAGCTCTGCTTTTTTGCTCAGTGGAATTGTCGAAATTTTTACCAGAGTAGAGGAATCGTGAATATCAACGCACTAAACATATAACAGGCAATTATCCATGCACTAGTAAAAAGTACCTACCTGAGCATATCCGAAGATGCACACTTCAATTTAGCCAACAGGAGCATACAAAAGTGTCAATGAACTCAAGCGAGCCAAAAAAACAAAATGAATTTTTTTTTCATGTTTCAGCTTTCGAAAAAAGTTCTCTGTCATCGAAATGACTTGCCATTTGATTTTCATGATGTTTACAAGATTTTACTCTTTTTAAAAATTCGAGAAACGAATAAATTTTGAATTTAATTTTTTCGAGCTGGTATCTATTTTGGTAAGAAATTTAGGCAGGTCTACCAATATACATCACTATAACTTCAAGATATACATCAAACCAACCATTGAGCTCTGGAGAAGGAGGTCAACACAACTTTCATTACAAACTAGCAATTAACGCACCTTCGGTGCTTCGAAATTTTTCGACAACTCATGAAAAAAACCGCATATATTGGAAACAACATCTGCAAACTTTTAGTGTACTCTGACTGCACCCAGGTTTGGTAATTTCGAACTTTTAAATTTTTTTAAATTCCCATTTTAAAAGCGTCATCTCGAAAACTTAATGGGCCTCTGGAGAAATTTGGAAGCCAGATTTGCAACCACTGAGACTCCCTGAGAGCACCCTACTATAGGGTTAGGAATCCAAAATGTTGTGAATTTTTTAAACCTAAGATTCCCGAAAAAAAAATTGAAAAAAAAACGTCTTTTCTCGGAAACTAAAAGGATTTGAGCATTCATATTAAGAGGCAAGATTTGAGACGCCTGGGTGTATGCTGACAATAAGGTTGTATCTTCATCAAGTTAGTAGTTTCAAATTTTTTGAATTTCTTTGTAGATAAGTTCTTTGAGAAATTTAAAAAAAATCGAAAAACGTCACATCTCGGAAACTAAAAGCATTTGAGCAGTCGGGTTTAGCAGTCGCATGTGGCAAGATTTGCAACTCTTTAGAGTACCCTGACAACGCCGAACTATAGAGTTGGGAATTTCAAATTTTGGAATTTCAAAAACAATTAATTTAAACTTTCTGAAAATTTTGAAAAAATCACCAAAAACGTCATATCTCGAAAACTACAAAGAATTGAGCAGTCATACTTCGAGGCAAGGTTCGCAATCTTTGAGAATACTCCGACAGGACCTAACTACAGGTTGGAAATTTCAGTTTTTAAAAACTAATAATAATTTAAGTTTTCTGAAAAATTTTGAAAAAATCACAAAAAACGTCATATCTCGATAACTACAAATTGAGCCGTCATATTTGAAGGCAAGATTTGTAATTCTTGAGAGTACTCTGAAAGGATCTAACTACAGGGTTGGGAATTTCAGATTTTGTAAGAAAAAAAATAATTCAAGTTTTCAGAAAAATTTTGAAAAAATCACAAAAAACGTCATATCTCGAAAACTACACTTGAGCAGTCATATTTGGAGGCAAGATTCGCAATCTTTGAGATTACTCTGACAGGACCTAACTACAGGGTTGGGAATTTCTGAATTTGCAAAAAAAAATTAATTTAAGTTGTCTGAAAATTTTTTGAAAAAAAAATCACAAAAAACGTCATATCTCGAAAACTACAAGGATTTGAACAGTCATATTTGGAGGCAAGATTTGTAACTCCTTAGAGTACTCCGACAGCACCCAACTACAGGGTTGGGAACTTCAAGTTTTTAAAATTATTTTGTTATTTGAAATTTCTGAAAATTTTTGAAAAAATCTCAAAAATCGTCTTATCTCGTTAACTAAAATGATTCGGGCATTCAAAATTGGAGGCCAAATTCGCAACCCTAATTCGATATTGGGCTGCTTAACTTAAACTCGGTAAAATAACCACTAAAATCAAATTGGAAAATCGAAAAAAATTCTTAACCATTGCAATATACGATATAGCTTAAACATGCAAAAATAATACGTTGAAAAAGCTTAAACATGGCGAGATAGTGAAGCCCGCATTTAAATATATAATAGATTACACGTAAGCTATATTAATTAGGAAAGCAACCAAATTATGGAATGAAATACAGAATTTTCAAAAGAGCATTTTTTAACTTTCGAAGAAATGCTCTTTCGTCGATATTACTTTATAATTTGATTTTCATAGCGTTTAAAAAATTTTACTTGATTTTTAAATTCGAGAAACGGATGAACGTTTGAATTTATTATTATCGTGCTGCTCAATTTAGGCCAGAAAATTACGCGGGCCTAGCAATTAACATCAAAATGATTTCCAGACATACATCAAGCCAAAAAATGAGCGCTTGCACAAGAGGTCAACAAAACTTCCATTACAAAATACAGGTGAGCTATAAAAAAAGGAAATCAACCAAATTTTGAACTTGCAACATCAGGGTTGGCACAGGTTTGAGATTGTGCTAACTAAAACTAACATTTTTCCATTTGTTTTCGGCGTGTAATACATCGTAATTCTACAAGATCCAGTTTCAAGACAAAGAAAAGAGAAAAAAAATAATTGAAATGCAGACCAGAAAGTAAGACGTAAATAGTAAACTTGAAGACAAAAAAAACTATGAATACTGATGTATTCGTGAGAAAACACAATCTTATCGTTTGAACACTGAAGATTTGACCTGAAGGCAAGGTGTCTATGACGTTTTTCAACTCAATCGACTTTAACTCTACGGCCAAACTTTCATTAACCTCGATCAAGCTGATTGGAATAAGTGCGCAACTGAATTAGATGAGATACTCTCTCATAAAGAGGAGCCTAGCGATGTTAACAAAGGCGCGAAAATCTTAAGGGAGCGTAATCCTCCAAACAGCAGAGCACATCCCCTGCGGCCGTCGCAATATGGCTAACGCATGCGTTCAAGCAACGCGTGACCAAACAAGACTCACTGACCAAACTGACCCAAATATTACGGCCCTCAACAAACAACATAGCAACACTTGCAATGCTAATAAGAAAACTTGCAGCGAGTTCGTGACTTCGAGTAGCCTCAAAACAAAGGTGAGCAATTATTTGCGACTATTTCGCACCTTGAACGGTTCAAACCCTCAAGACTTATTCTAGAATATTTTCAATTCCAAGTTCCTCACCACACCCTCAATAGCAAACGCGTTGATCGTTTAATTGACCCGCGTTTACACTGAAGGAGATTCTGGTCCATCGAGATTCTGGTCCCGATTAACCTACAAAAAATCATTCAAAACATCTCAATGAAACTGCCTTCACTAGTAGCATAAGCCTCAGTTTGCGCGCTCCGCAATTCCCTCCAGTTTGAAAAAAAAACCACCGTACTTTCGCCAGTCGAACCCCTAAAAACCCCATCCTATCCAAATCATATCGCCTCATTTGCTTTTTCAGCCCCGTTATCAAAATTGATGAAGCACTCCTCATCCCTTTCCTTCCAAAGGGATGAGGAGTGCTTCATCAATTTTGAATAGCCTAATTGTTGTTATAAACTTATTAAATAGATTTCTTTGTTCAAATTTACCGCTTGTGTGTTTTCATATCATATGCGCGCTGGGCTTTCCTCTTCTGGTTATCTTACTAAATCTCGCCGTCCCAGCCGTAGGCGAGTGAAGTTTCCCTGGCGTAACTAGACGCAAGAAGGAGTGAGCTGGTGAATCGACCTCCAAATCGACGTCGGGTTGTACCACTCCTTTCTTTTTTTTTCATCGCCTTTGCCTCAGCAATTTTAAACCCTAAGTGAAAGTATTCATAAATCACCCCAAGGAGCTTCCTTTCTCGCCCCAGTTGTCTGTGTTTCAGGTTGATGCCGCGATTCCAGGCAAGACGCATCCCTGAGTTCTCACAGAAACTAGTTATCGGGACTTCAAGGACCAAATATATCAAACCAGCTCTAGTAAAATCAACAATTCACTCCTACCGCGGCGCAACGCTTCATGATCTGTTTGAAACAGTTTTACAATACAGACCAAAGCGCCTAAATACAGTAACAATAGTTGCTGGATACAATGACTACAGGCTGCATCCACAAGAATTAGAACAACAGTGGAAAAACTTGATTAACCTCGTCACTAACAAGTTTCAGCCCAAGACACTGATCATCCCCAAAACAATTCAGAACTGTAATAATTCCGAAGTAAACCGCAAAATTTATATTCATAATCATGTGCTGTTTAATTTGATAAATAGATTTGTACACCCCCATACACTTATTGTTTCGCCTAACCTCAACCTAAATCTAACCCCTCAAATGTTCTGCCGTGATGGCATCCATTTCTCGTTCTACGGTAATGATTTCTTTAAAATTTTCTTGCAAATTTAATCTATAATTTCTCTCGCTAACTTGACACCGCCGTCCTTCCTAAAATGGCTACTCAAACACACTGCCTTATTTGTAAAAGCAGCCTGCGAGGCGGAGGTGTTTGGTGCTTCACATGCCCAGGCTACATGCATGTAAAATGCAGCGGCCTAGCCCGCAGCAGTGATCACTATGACGATTTCAGTTGTCATCGCTGCACCTCCCAATTTCATTCAGCTAACGACAAGCATTAATGCAATCCCCAACCCTAGCTACAACCACGCTCCCCCAAATGCACCCTCACCCTTCCACTGCCCCACACTCACAAAACTCAGGAGAGTCTTCCACTATAGAACCCAGAACAATACAAGACCCATGGTCAAACCCCTGTCCAGAACTAATAGAAACCACCAGGAAAATATACACCGAAGTGGTCCACTGGAAACCGGTCTTTATGATCTTGTCAAAAAATGAAGTTGGTTATAACTTTATTGAAACCTTCAATAGAACTTTGAACAGCCTAATAGAAAACAACGAAAATACCTTCGCAATGCACGCAGCAATGATTTTTCCACACTTATTACTGTGCAAAACAAAGTCCGAAATTGATGGATCTTTATCCAAAACAATAGCAAGGCGACTTAAGCAATGGCAAGAGGGAGACCTGGATGGACTATATAACGAAGGAAAGGCGCTGCAAATGCGCTTGTTGATAGGAAGTAGAAGAAAAATTGAAACTGAAGCACAACAGTTCAACAAACTAATGAACACTGGAAAAATATCAAGCGCAATTGCAAAACTAACAGACACATCTAAAGGCGATCTTTCGCTCGACGAGATTGTCAAAGGTAAGACAGTTGAACAGATTCTCATAGAGAAACACCCACCATCTGAACCAATTAATGAGAACTATATTACACCAGTCTCAAACGAAAAAATTCCTTTCCATCCATCGATATCTGATCAGATAAACGGTCAACATATCAAGAAGGCAGCCATGAGAACGCACGGATCGCATGGACCATCTGGCCTCGATGCGAATGAATGGAGACGTATTCTAACACACTTTGGGCAAAAATCAGTTGAAATTTCAAAAACAATTGCTAAAATTGCCAAAAAATTGGCCACAGAAGAACTAAATCCAGAACTAATGGAACCATATAACGCATGCAGATTAATACCCTTAGATAAGAATCCAGGGGTAAGACCCATAGGCATAGGAGAAGTTATGCGTAGGATAATAGGGCGAACAATAACTAAATGCCTAAAAAACGAACTCATGTCGCTCGGTTCAAACTACCAACTCTGCCTAGGACAAAAATGTGGCATTGAATATGCGATCCACACGCTAAGAAATCAATACAGCAAAACTTCCGCCGATGCTGTTTTACTGATAGATGCCGAAAACGCTTTCAACTCGCTGAACCGAAAGCTGGCATTAAAAAACATCGAAAATACCTGCCCTTCCCTTTTAACAGCGATTAAGAACTCCTACTCCAATCCATCTAAACTATTCGTTAACAAAAAAAAACAATCTACTCTCAAGAAGGGACAACCCAGGGGGATCCACTAGAAATGACCATGTACGGTCTAGCCATAATACCCCTCATAAAACTCTTATCAGTAGACGATGTAACCCAGAAATGGTACGCAGACGACGGAAACGCAGTCGGTAAATTAAGCAATCTACGAACCGTCCTCGATAAAATTGTATCACTGGGTAAATTTTTCGGCTACCACGTGAAAGCATCCAAATGCCAACTCATTGTCAAAGATGAAAAACTCGGTGAAGCTCAGAAAATTTTCGCAAATACAGGAATCACTATAAAGGCAGGAGCCCGAGTGCTTGGTTCAGTTATAGGAACAGAATCTGAATGTAAAAAACAGAATAAGCAAATCAAAATTTTGAAAAAACTAACCAAAATTGCTAAAACCTCCCCTCAAAACGTTAATGGCTGCTATACTAAAGGAGTTCAAGAAAAGCTTTCATTTCTTGCCAGGACAACGCCTAACACTATGGAAAACTTAGAAATATGTGAAAATATTATCAAAGAACAATTATTACCTAACCTAGTCGGTAAAGACACTTTAAACCCCCAGTTCCGTGAGATATCTTCCTTACCCCTTTAAATGGGCGGACTTAACATCAAGCTGCCATCCGATCATGAAAGCTACCTAGAATGGTCTAAGGAAACATCACTGGTACTGGAATCTCAAGATCCTATTACAGCAGTAACACAGCAAGAAAAAATATGTACGAAAATCAAAAAATTGAAAACTGATAGAACAAATCGAAAAAAGACAAACCTCATTAACTCCTTAAAAGAAACAGATGAATACGCAATCGACCTGGCCTCTGAAAAGAGAGCCTCTAACTGGCTCAATGCTCTACCACTGAGCAGATACAACTTCAACCTGAATAAATCAGAGTTCAGAGATGGTATTTACTTAAGATACGGATGGGAACCAACCAAAACCCCACTCACATGTGCATGTGGTGCTGATTTTAACTTGACACATGCGCTTCACTAAGCAAAGGGTGGTTACACACACATAAGACACAATGAAATCAGAGACACATTCGCCAACCTCATGAACGAGGTTTGCCATGACGTCGAGATTGAGCCGAAACTTCAGCCGTTGCAAGGCGAAAGCTTTGTCAACAATTCAACTACAACTGAAGATGAGGCACGACTTGACATTAAGGCAAACGGACTCTGGGGTTCACGATTCAGCCGCGCTTTCTTTGATGTGAAAATTTTCAACCCCCATGCCAAAACATCGCGAAAACTGTAGAAGGATGCATACAAATACCATGAAACGCTGAAGAACTCCAAATATCAGCAAAGAATTTTAAACGTAGAGCAGAGTAGCTTCTGCCCGCTAGTTTTTGGATGCACCGGTGGCGCTGCTCCAACAGCCACGCGGACGATGCAGCGATTGGCCGAAAAACTAAGTGAAAAAAGACAAGAAAGCTATCCCGAATCTATAAACTACATAAGAACTAAAATAAGCTTCGCGCTCCTGAGGAGCTCTATATTTTGTATAAGGGGGTGCAGATCCATAAGCGCTATTGTAGAGGAAGGACGGCTAAGATAAATTAACATTATGACGATGCATTTAATGCTGATTTATGACTTCATTGCTGATATATATGCATTTTTATATCGCTGGTATGGCCCTATCCAGCTTGTGCACTTGCCGTAACTAAACGGAAGGGCCCCTTTTGTAATTTAGTTTTTTTTTTTTTAAAATCCTTCCAAAGTGAATCATACGATCAAGAGAACGCTTAACGATTGTCCTTTATAATTAAGCCTCAGTTTTATGCTGAAGAACTTCACCAACAGCGTCTTAACCTCACAAGACAATTCAAATTCGCATCAACGAAGACCCCCTAATAGAACAGCTCTTGTCGCCCAAGCTCTATCAAAAGCATTCAATTGCGTAAACCACCACAACCACATTGGTAAACTGACTAATCCCTCACTGCCCGACCCTATCAGTCGCTAGCTAAGCAACTATCTGAGGCAGGCCAGAACCCTATTAGGAGACCATTCTTCAAAGCGAGAATAGTCCACAGTGGAGTCCCTCATGGCTCATTTATATCCACAACACTTTTCAACTTTTATACCAAACACTCCCCCCTATCCGCCCAAAAGTATATCCATTATTTCTTACGCGGACGACGTCAATTTCTACACCCAAGGCGCCAATATCAAAACTCTATCTTCTTCTTTTCTCTCTCTCTCTCTCTCTCTCTCTCTCTCTCTCTCTCTCTCTCTCTCTCTCTCTCTCTCTCTCTCTCTGCAAACCTAGACACTATCTACACTTTCTTCGATACTCTCAACTTAGAACTCTCCCCTTCCAAATGCTCGGTAACCATTCTCACCTGACTGAAAAGACTTAATCTATCAAAAATTTCATATCACGATTTGTTTCAATTGATTTCATTTTAGAAGAAACATGCTGAAAAGTACAATTGCGGGCCTAACCCTAACATTAGAACAAAATTTACAAAGCGGTATCTAAGTCGACAATACTTCGGTTGACCTAACGTCGCGCCCAAAAAATGATTTCCAAAAAACTGAGCATACAAATTTTGAAACTCCTAAGTCGAATAAACCTTTAATTAAAAAGTTTATAAGACAAACTTTTCCAAAATGGAGTTGGTAATTGCACAACCAACATAAAAAATACATAATTCAAAATAGAACGGGTATTCAAAATGCAAAAATCTCAAATACATCAGTTACAATAAATTTCCAACTGAGGCCTCCGTGAGATGAGTCTTATCGTTGCTCAAGTGACAAAAATAGTCTTGCTCTCGCAAGTGTAACAAAAGTATACAGTCAATTAATGGGCTCTTTTACATCGTATATCAAATTTATATGTGTAATGCAAGCATTATACCCTCGATAACTTCAGATGACAAAACTTATCAACTTTGAATTGTCAAAAATAAACAAGAGTATAGAAATCAAATAAAACTCAAGACAGCTTTTCTAAATAAAACAGAATAGTAAAGAGATTGAAACCTCGTTTCCGGCGACTGCAATTTGAATATCGTTCGCTGATATGTCGGTTGGTGATAAAGTACCAAGTTCAACTTCCTGGCTCAGGCTATTTCTAGCACGTCCTGCTGCAGTATTAGTAGTATAGGCATTAGTCACCTGCGAATGAACTGCAGCCACTGCTAATCCTTAAAAAATTGAAGGTTTTAGTTATTGAAATAGGATAAAACGCATACACTATTCGGAAATGAAGCACGAGAACTCTTTAGCTCCACAACACTTTAAAAAATGAAACTAAAAATTTAAGTTTCATAACCCGTACCATTTTTTGCCGTTTTTGTTTTTCTTGGTAAGAAAGTTTTATTTCTAAGTTTTTACTTTATATTTTACCATCTTTGATATGTGACGACTGAGAGCGGAGGAACTCCAAAAAAAATCATAACAAGCGTATGAAAAAAAAACAATTATTCAACTTGTTTTTACAAACCATGTTCATTGATATTTTTCACTTTTCTGACTTTTGGTCTAGCCCCAGCAGCATGATAAGTATTTTGATATTCTCGATCTCGAGGTATCGAAAGCTGGTCTCCATGCAACCCGTTAGACCCAGTCTGTGAGTATTCAGTTTTAATGACTGGTTCAATTTCATTCTCGTTTTCCTGGTTTATGTCGCGAAACTCCGTCTCCAAACGCATCGCATTTCTCAATTGCGAGGCAACTTTCTTTTCGGAAATGGGTGCAACTTTACTAGCGACATCACGCAGAAAATCTATATCGTTCCCATCTTTCTCCTTCGAAATATCATCACATAAGTTTTCATATTTTTTCTGATAACAAGCACAAGACTGATCAACAAGTTTCAGCAGCACCTGTCGGCGCTTCTCAACTTCAGTGTTTATTTCTATTGCAAATTGCGCCTTGAGATCCATACTACATATTCCTGAAACAAACAGTATGGTAATTAGGAGTGCCGGACATCAAGCCGACGGGACTTCAAGCCGAATTGTAAAATTAGGGACTTCAAGCCGAATAATTCCTTATAAAGTCGTGAAATATGAACAAATTGAAAACTTTTTTGAGAATTTCTGAATTTCATGATCTGTGCCAGTCGGTCATGTCTGGAGGTTTGACCTTGAGAAACACGTAATTTTGGAGTGAAGTTTTAATTTTAAAAATTTCGAATGGAGCCTGTCATGCTCAGTTTTCTCGAACCAACTGAAAACGCAAAAATCAAAAATCAGAACGACCGAATTAACAATTGCGGGAAACTACTCAAGAAAAAGGCAGGAAATTGCTATTCGCAATTTCTCGATACGAAATAATCAGAGAGTAGAGCTGTCTTATCCTGAAAATAGGAGAATAGAATACAGACTTGAGAAAGGACGACTATTCGAACGGAAAGGAGTGAACATTCAATGGAAGAGTGGACAACTCGAGTGTCCCAATGGTTCATTCAGAAACTTTGATTCTTGAAGACAGAACTTACTTCTGTTGTTAAAACTAATTAGCATCAAACTTATTTAGTTATATTATTTAGTTCTCAAGCTGCTTATCTTTTAGTTACTCCTCATACTCAAGTGCATCGACATGTGAGTTCTCAATTTAAATTTCTCGAGTGTATTTTATGATAGTTATGTTGAGATAAGGCGAGTTTTAGGTTGATCCATCTGAAATGGATCAAAGTTCCACTGTCCAATAAAAAGTAACTAAGCGGATTGTTCCGACCCGGTTTTTAACGGCGTTCATGTATTTTGGGTATTTCGAGACCTAAGTATGGGGACGTTTTTATTTCTAGAGTGGGGGGGTATTTTGGTAGTGGCCTTTAAGCTGTAACGGGTTCCAGTCTCATGTCGCAAGCGAACCGAATTGGCTCCGACCGTTCTTGAGGTAGAAAAACACAAGAGATAGTGTCCCTGACTCTTGAGCCAATGGTTATAGGGCCTATTTTTCTTAAGCCTCATGTGTGACTACAGTAGACGAATGTTACATAGTGTTTTTATGGCGCTCCTGGGTGTTTTTACGACATCATGACTACGGAGTCGAACCCACTTGACACAGCTCCGGGCTACATGCCCATTCTAGAGTACCGGTGGTACGGTTCAGCGGGAACGTGTAAACCTTCCGGTTGTACCGTGATAGCTTTTTAAGAAAACTCAAGAAAACTTCCTGGTACGCTCTCCGAACGAGGCTTAGCTAACCGAGTGATGGGGGGCAACTAGGGGGACAAAAACACGAGCAAAAAAGAATACAAAAAGGAACAAAAACCATAAAACGAAAAAAGACAGTGACTTTGATACCAAATTAGTTGGATCAGACCTTTGTATTAATTAAATAGTATACACATACTGTTTTATAAGACCGATCGTTTCGATCAATCTAGCAATTTAAACCAGTGACTTCAGTAAGGTGCCCGAGTGGGGGGCGTTGTTAAGGGTTTTCAGATAGATTGCGACCCAACCGGACCACTAGGAGACTTGACTGCAAAGGGTGACCAGTCGAGTGGGAAAGTGGTTCACAAGGATCGAAACGGACCACTAGGAGACTTGATTGGAAGAGGTGACCAGTCGAGTGGGAAAGTGGTTCTGCTGTCAAGTGCAGAACAGAGACAACCAGCACAGGACCACTACAAGAGGACGCACAGGGGTGTTCTCAAGTCGAGCAACGGGTATCGTTAGAATCCACATTACATTATAGGAAATAAGTGTAAAATTGGATAAGCGGAGTCCCATTGTTTTGAGGCAGTTTTTACTCAAGCAGGCCTGGAAACAGGTCTACGGTTTTCTCCCGAGAGGTTTAGCGCCCGACGCTTAAGGGATTTTTTGGCTTAAGAGGGGGGCTAAAGAGGGGGGAGGTTAGTAGGGGGGCTGGTTAGGTCAGAGGTTGGCGGTTGTAAATTGTAAAAAGGGGGGAAATTAGAGTAACTAATTAATCGACATCGTTGATTTAGTTACATTAGCCATCAACACGCGTTGGTAATAATAGGTGGATATCCAAAATTTAACTCGAGTTAAGATTGGTACGTTGGTTGGATTGGTAGGGGGGAACGGATATAGAAAGTTTTTGTGATACCCCATAAGATCGCTAGTGGGGGGAGGAAAACGCGTGGCAGTTAGGTACAAGACATTTTTTTTTCGACAGAGGGTCGACATTTGTCTCCTTTGAATTTTAGGTGGGTTGATTTCTCTGTTTTATTGTTTTTCTTGTTAAAAAAAGAAAAAAAATTTTTTTTTTTTATATATATTGTTGCATTTTGGTGAGGATTTGCGATTGGTTTGCGAAATTTTCACTAGAGCTTGAGTGGTGGTACAAGGTACAGTGAATCAAGAAGTCCCTACAACGAGGAAGAAAGAGATCCGATATCCAGACATTCAGTGACGAGTCTTGGGACAGTACCAAAGAAGTCTTGGGACATTGCAGTCTGGGGACAGTCTTGGGGCAACACAGTCTTGGGACAGTGCAGCCTTGGGGCAGTCTTGGACCAGAGCAGTCTTGGTACGAAACAGTCTTGGGCCATTGGTCTTGGGACGTTAGTCTTGGGACGTTGGTCTTGGGACATTAGTCTTGAGACGTTGGTCTTGGGCCATTGGTCTTGGGACGTTAGTCTTGGGACGTTGGTCTTGGGACATTAGTCTTGGGACGTTGGTCTTGGGCCATTGGTCTTGGGACGTTAGTCTTGGGACGTTGGTCTTGGGCCATTGGTTTTGGGACATTAGTCTTGGGACGTTGGTTTTGGGCCATTGGTCTTGGGACGTTAGTCTTGGGACGTTGGTCTTGGGCCATTGGTCTTGGGACATTAGTCTTGGGCCATTGGTCTTGGGACATTAGTCTTGGGACGTTGGTCTTGGGCCATTGGTCTTGGGACGTTAGTCTTGGGACATTAGTCTTGGGCCATTGGTCTTGGGACGTTAGTCTAGGGACGTTGGTCTTGGGCCATTGGTCTTGGGACATTAGTCTTGGGACGTTAGTCTTGGGACATTGGTCTCGGGACGTTAGTCTTGGGACGTTGGTCTTGAGACGTTGGTCTAGGGACGTTGGTCTTGGGACATTGGTCTGAGGATACCAATAAGAAGTACTGGGACAACACTGAATAGTCTTGGGACGGTAGAGAGAAAGTCTTGGAACAGTATTAGGAAGGGGGTACTACAAGAGTACTAAGTTAGGTTGAAGTAACCAATTATAACAACACATTCCCTATCCTAACCTAACACATAAAAGTTTTCAAAAGTTTAAGAAAAATTGTTTTTAGCGAATTGTCAATTTCTTTTTACTTAGAGTTTTTAACCTTAGAGTAGAAATTTTGTAGATAATAATACTGTAAATAATAACAATTGTAAATAATGAGGCGGAGCAGGGTACCGGTAGCTGAAAAAAGATCTACCGAAGCAAAATATAATTCGTCGCTACGCAAAGCAACATCAATGGGTCCGAAGATAACAAAGAAGAGCTTTTCAGTTAACATGGTCAGTACAAAGAGTACAACGGAGAACAGAGCAAAAGAGGGCACAGAAGGGGAACGAGTAGAACCCACCATCGAGATTGATCTAGAGACACCCGATCAAAGTGTGGATGAAACAGGGAAAATTGCGACGGAGTCAACTCCAATGCCCAATGCAGAAGAACCAAACCCGAAACCCATAGAGTTCTCACCAATAGACAATGTGGAAGATGCAATAGGCAACACCGAAGAAACGGTGAAAGAAGACTCTCAAGTAAAAAAGACATCTTTTACAGAAAGGTTGGCGATGATGGTCGGAATAAAAACGAAAGAAAACATGACTGAAGAACCAAAAGCTGAAAGAGCACGAACATTTGGGACAGTGAGCACGAAGACGACAGAAGCCAATCCAAGAGAGGAACAGACTAAAGCAGAAGCTACGGCCAAAGACAGACCGACGGCTGACCATGAAGAGGCTACTATTGAGCTAGGTGACTTGATGGCGAAACTGAATCAGATCGACAAAAAACTGAAGCACAGCGAAGAGGACAGAGAGGTGATAAGAAAAGAATTAAGATACAACAAACACGAGTATCTGGATAGTTATTTTAACCTGGCTAAGGCGACAGATGAGAGACTCAAGGAGATGTCAGATAAGGTAGAAGCCACCAATGAAGAACGAGATAAGAACATCAAAAAAGATATGCAACAGTTGAAAAACCGATATGATGATGTCAACAGCCAATTAGGTAGCCTGGAAAAGAGAATGGACACAATGAGCAAGAATCAGGCAGAAAGTTCGTGTGCAATACAGGCGAAATTGGATGCAATCTTGAGAAATTCTACTTCACAAGAAAGACCGGCAGCGGATCGTACGCAAGGCACCAGAGTTGACTTTGTGGAACCACAAAGGAACAAACGGCAATCGACACCGTTGCTCTTAACCCGGGACACGGTGAGCATAGCACCAACAGCTGCGAAAACAATAATGAAGAATGGAACGTCGAGCACAACGACTGGTCCGGGGGACTCAACAACTAACAGCAACGCAGGACCGGATATTATGACATGGGCAAACACTTGGGAAATGATGAATAGAACTCTAGAGGCCTTCGCCACAAGGAACACCGACTCGAACGATAGAAGAGAGGGAAAATCCAGAAAAACATTCAAGAAGCCAAAAGAATTCAAAGATGACTCTGATGGATGCATCGATACTTGGGTGGAAGTGATAAGACTACACCTAGAACAGGACAACTTGAACGATGAAAGACAAGCATGCACAGCCATACTCAGCAATTTAGAAGGCACGGCATTAAAATGCGTGGTTGCGAAGAAAGAAGAAGAACGCGATACCGCGGACAAAATCTTTGAAATACTGTTGAATAGATTCGGCTCAGGCATGAAGGGTCATCAAGCGATGATGCGATTTGAAAAAAGGAGACAGAGAGATGACGAATCGATAGACAGGTTCCTAGATGATCTCGAGAGCTTGAGAAGAAGGAGTGACCCAAAAGAATCTACCA